GATATGAATCCACATATCTGCGCGGCTTTGGCAGAGATTCTATCTGCATGAGGTGATAAAGCATGTTTAATTGTATAACTTAGACCTAGGTCCTTTATGGTGAGGCATTCTGAGAGTGGGTTATTCTGAAAAATTATGGGACCAGGAAGTTTGGTAGGACCAAAAGACATGAAACTACACTTGGATGATGAAAACTCCATCTGCCATGTCGAACCCCATCTGCTTATGCGTAGAAAATCGACATTAATTTTCTCAACACAAACATTTGCGGTGTCCTTAGAGTATGAGTAAACACAGTTGAGGTCATCGGCATAAGTAAAAGTTTGCGAATTTCCGAGTTCATTCGAAATTTCACTGATGTACAGAAGGAAGAGTAGCGGACCCAGAACCGTGCCTTGAAGTACGCCACTCGTGATCGAGTGAGGTGTCGAGTAGCTATTACCGACCATGTCCTTCTGATATCGGTTGGACAGATAGGACCTAATGAAGTCGAGTAGAGGCGGCCGGATGCCGAGGGCTTCCAATTTTACTAAAAGACGTCTATGGGGCACCTTGTCAAAGGCTTTGCTAAGATCAAAGTAAATAACAACCACTGACTGCCGCTCATTACGAAGAGAGGTGATTAGATTAAGAAAAGCCAAGTGGCATGTTTCACAGGATCGTTCAGGTAAAAATCCATGCTGACTAGAGCTCAGAAGCCCATTAGCTAGACAGAAGTCAAGAATTTCATTGGAAATTATCCTTTCAGGAAGCTTTAGTAGAGACGGTGTTTTGTGTTCGCCCCAATAGTTATTAACATCGGACCGAGATCCAGACTTGAAGACGAGAATGATAATTGGCGTTTTCCATGTTTCAGCAGATAATCCTTCTGAAATATAAACCGAGAATAAATGACTGAGCAATATGGGAAGGTCGGACGCTTGTTTAATAATCGAATTCGGAATCCCGTCCGTCCCTGAGCAGTGTGAGTATTTCAAACGGCTTATGTGTTTCTTAATGAGATCTGAGGAGACATCAATTGTACTCAGTGTCCTATCTGAAAGTGATCGAAAGAAAGGGACCGGATCGGACTCGGTAGCAAGGTGTTTTGCAAAGAAAGCACTAAACAACTCCGCCTTGTCAGTGTCATCGGTGAGGCAGACTTTGTTATCATTTAGCAGGGGTGGAAGTTCATGACCACGCTTAGAGGAGGACCGATGACGGAAGATGTTAGCGACGGATTTGCCAGGGTTCGAACCACTGAGAGCAATTGATTCTCTTTGCCTGTCGCGCGCTTGGCGCATCCTTGAGGCCATCTCAAATATCTCTGTGATTCTAAGATGAACAGATAAGGAACTAGTGGATGGGTCACGCAGTTGTCGCCTCAACTTTTTTTAGTCTGTTCTGAAGAAAATGAGGAACAAGAGAATCTGAAGAATTAGGCTTGAGATATCTACGCGGCACAAACTCTAGAATGTCCTTGGAAACATTGGACATGACATCACGAAGAATGGTTACATCGCTACAAGTGAGGAAGCCACACCAATCCAAGGATCTCATATAGTTATTTATTAAGTCGCTATCTACGCAGTCGTAGTTCATGTAAGTCCGAACGGCGCTTGTCTTTTTTGAAAAGGCAAGCGGTAGGCAACAATGAATTAATACGTGGTCACTGTCAAAGAGGTCCTTTTTTAAAGCAACAGAAAGAGGAGCAATGTCATTGGTAAAGATTAGATCTAAAATGTGATTATCTCTTGTTGGAGAGCGCACCAGTTGGGACCAATTAGAAAAATTGACAATATCTTGAAAGGGCTGGATTCGGGGTGGGCAGCTATTGGAAACCCAGTCAATTTTAGGAAGGTTAAAATCCCCAATGATTATTTTAACATCGAACGCAGCTTCCGAAATTAATTTAAAGATTTCACAGAGTTGAGAATCATCACTGGCTAAAGAATTTGGGGGATTGTAGATACAGCCAATAATTGCCTTTTTTGCGGCGAGAGAATAACAGATGCAAAGCAGAAGTTTCCCGTGAATGAGGAAACATCCAAGTGATAGGGAGAGTGCTTTAGGTAGGATTTAAGATAAAGAAGACAACCACCCCCACGCCTTGTCGTGCGGTCTTGGCGGTAAAAATCGAAGTCATCTATGAGAAGGGTAGAGTCAAGAATTAGAGAACGTGTCCAAGATTCTGTTACACATATAATATCAGGCGTCATTTCCAGAGCAATGGATCTGATTTGGGCCATCTTGTTTATAACAGACCTGGCATTCAATAATATAATGTCTAATGTGTTTCGAACGGCAATGCTATTTTCGACGGTATTTTAAAAAAAATTTGGAGGCGGATATGTAAGCTGTGAATTAATGACACTTGGAGAATAAGTACCAGTTAGTCTAGAGTTATTGACGTACGGGGAGTCAGCAAGAGAAGGCTGAGTATGAGACCTAAAGGAGGTGGGGATATAGTTTTCAAACATTGGAATGCTAGGGGAGTTAGAACATGGATAGACTTGTTGGTAGTTAAATATTGGAGGAAGGGGGGGAGGAGGGAGGCTAGAAGGAAAGTAGGGGCTATTGAGTGTGGGTAGGCAGCTATAAGAATGAAAGGGTGGGTAACCAGGTCTCGGTTGGAAGTCATAGTTGATAGGTTGACGTACCTGGTGGCAATTAGCTTCAGCGACCCTAAACTTGAAGCCGCATGAATAGAGAAATTGAAAAGCGACATGGTTTGGCTGTCTACTCTACTGGGAACAATTTAAATTAACACGCTTATTCCCGACCTACAATTCACTATCGAGGAAGAAGAAGTGGCGGACGAACTTCCGTTCATGGATGTTCTCGTCTGCCACCAAATGGACTGTAAACTGGCGATGTCAGTCCCCAGTTACAACAGCAGTCACCCACTACAACACAAGGAAGCTGAGTACGCACGCTATACCGGCGGATAGAAACTCACTACAGCATGCCAGCCGCCAAACTGGACGAGATGACACTTTCAAAAATTCTTACTAGTCAACGGGTATCCGCAAACATTCGTTGAACAGAACAGAATGCAATAATGGAATCTAAATGAAGAGTATAGTCAGCTACAATCGTGGCGGAGCATTCCCCAAATAAAGGGAGTTTACGGAGCCGTGGCAAGAACCCTGGTGCACTCGGAATAGGAGTTGCTTACTTGCATGACTCAAAAATCTGCCGGCAAATGGTGCGGTCAAAAACCCTATCCCTAAACAGGAGGTGTTGGCCGTTGTCTACTGACTTCAGTGCAGTTGCAGGATGTACTAGTACGTTGGGGAAACCAGCTGACGGCCACAAACACAGTTGGCGGTGAGAATGTTGCACGCGAAATCGGAGGTGGCAACCCATGCGTCGCTCAATCTTAGGGCCGTTGCTTTTCCTACTTTACAGCATCTACTGTATCAACGCCCTTTAATTCAGCGCCGTCATGTTTGCCGAAAAGACCAACTCGTTATCTGCTTAATTTTAATTTGGACCTATATGTGTCCCCGAGTCTGCGCACCAAAGAGAACAGTAATGAGTATAATTCCTTTAAACAATTCTTTAACGAGCAGCCACTTTCAGAAGTTGTGAAGTAGTAAGAACTCGGTGTCTAATGATTTCCTTTCTGAAGACATCGTCACAGTGTCCATTGGAATCCAAGCGCGCGAATTGGGTATTAGTTCCGCTGGGGCGAGTATCTGTGCAGATCTATTAATATTTCTTAGAAAAAACCTACCGGGCATTCGTTCGGTCTCACTTAGTGCATGCAGTCCTGACCTGACAACCGCGGTTAAAGAAAGATTATCAACAGCCGGGAAGAATTCAGACGAAAGTCACGAAATGGCGAAGAATCTGGATCATCTTCCTTTCAAGACCGTACTGGTCTAACTAAATCTCTTTCTTTCAATAACAGACAAGCGCTCGGCAATCTCATTCAAACCTGCCGGAATGTTGACAGCCGTGAATGCGCCCCAGACTTTAAAGAATTCTTGAGTTTGGCCGCGGTCCACCTTCTGCATTTTCATCCTTTTAAACTACTGAGGAAGCAGCCCATACGGGCGTCCCATGTAAATCCTTCTCGCAGAGAATCCTTGGAGCATGGGACGGACACCCTGATGCGGTGGTCCTGTTCAAAACTGTCGAATCCTATCGAAACAGTTGAATTCTCAAAATGCAGAATAGATGCTTATTCGCTGAGAATCTACTGTGCTTATACTCACGATTGTTTTAACGACGGCAGTTTGCGCCTGGATCGTACTTACCGTAAAATTTAGGATTTCCAAACTTGCTGATGTAAAAATGGATTCTTTTTCTGTTTCTAATGACGAAGGCCTCATTCCACTAACAAACTGACTTAAATTGACTTGGGTAGATAAAATCCTGCACATGATTAAGAAAAATGATCTCGAGTCTCTGCAAAATCAAAATCGTCATAAAAACTTGGCCGTGGAAGATGAAGTCAGTCCTCAGCCGTCTGAAATCCTCTTTTTTGTATATCAGGCAATTATCTTCGCAAATGTGGAGGCGCATTTAACAACCATATTTTTTGCAACAAACAGGCTCTGCAATGGGTTGACGCACGGCATTATATGTTCCAAGTTTCAGATGATGATTAGAAGAATGCTCGGATTAATCAATGCAGAATAAGCCATGAACAGAGCCTGTACCAATTCAATTGCATGTTTAGCAAAAACTCCTCACTTATCATAGCAGATTTAATTCTAGCCGGCAAGTAGGCGCCTGTTCGTACCCCTAATATCTATTCAGAGCCATAAGGTTCTAAAACGAAACGATCAGTGCTCCTCCATTTTTGTATAACTCCCTAGTAACAAAGCGTGAATTTCGCATAAAGGATTTTTCAGGACCCTTAAGGCGCATTAGCTTTACATATATACTCCCTAATTGTGCACACCTTTGATGGCCTATTTGTTTATCCTTATCAACAGGACAGCTGTTTCTATAACAGCCCTCAGAACTGACCTAAGCGCATAATCAAATTGTAGTTCGCATAACAGAAGATGCGTGAAATTGCACACATACAAGCAGGTCAGTGCGGTAACCAGATTGGTGCTAAGGTAAAAATTATACAATACTGTTAGCAATTGATTAGTTTTGGGAAGTCATCTCCGACGAACATGGCATTGATCCGACAGGAACGTACCATGGCGATTCCGACTTGCAGTTGGAACGCATAAATGTCTACTACAACGAGGCGACTGGTGGAAAATATGTCCCGAGAGCCATTCTGGTTGACTTAGAACCAGGGACAATGGACAGCGTCCGAGCTGGTCCTTTTGGTCAACTTTTTAGGCCTGACAACTTTGTCTTCGGACAGAGCGGTGCTGGTAACAACTGGGCTAAAGGTCACTACACGGAGGGCGCAGAACTGGTCGATTCTGTCCTCGATGTGGTTCGCAAAGAGGCAGAATCATGTGACTGCCTGCAAGGTTTTCAGCTTACCCACTCGCTTGGTGGTGGCACAGGTTCCGGCATGGGCACGCTTCTTATCTCCAAGATACGAGAAGAGTATCCTGACCGTATTATGAATACATTCTCTGTAGTGCCTTCGCCCAAGGTAACATTATTTTTTGATGTTTTTAATTTCAATTAGGTGTCAGATACCGTTGTGGAGCCATACAACGCCACCCTTTCCGTGCACCAGTTGGTTGAGAATACCGACGAAACCTACTGCATAGACAATGAGGCTTTGTACGATATCTGCTTCCGAACCCTGAAACTCACCACTCCGACCTACGGCGACCTCAACCATCTGGTCAGTGCGACTATGTCCGGCGTGACATGTTGTCTACGGTTCCCCGGTCAACTGAACGCTGACCTTCGCAAGTTAGCTGTAAACATGGTTCCCTTCCCGCGACTTCACTTCTTTATGCCGGGCTTCGCTCCGTTAACTAGCCGTGGTAGTCAGCAATACCGTGCCCTGACCGTTCCCGAGCTGACTCAACAAATGTTTGACGCCAAGAATATGATGGCAGCATGCGATCCACGGCACGGCAGGTATTTGACTGTGGCAGCCCTCTTCCGTGGTCGAATGTCGATGAAGGAGGTGGACGAGCAAATGCTTAACGTACAGAACAAGAATTCGAGCTACTTTGTAGAATGGATTCCAAATAACGTAAAGACTGCTGTTTGTGACATTCCACCACGAGGTCTCAAGATGTCTGTCACTTTCATTGGCAACAGCACTGCTATTCAGGAGCTCTTCAAGCGTGTGAGTGAGCAGTTTACTGCAATGTTCAGAAGAAAGGCTTTCCTGCATTGGTACACAGGTGAAGGTATGGATGAGATGGAGTTCACTGAGGCTGAGTCGAACATGAATGATCTGGTGAGCGAATATCAACAGTACCAAGATGCAACGGCGGAAGAGGAGGGCGAATTTGAAGAAGAGGAGGCAGAAGGTTAATCATGTACTGCGGACGCATCTATACTTTCATACTGCTATTTGCACAGGTTTGATACTTATGGATTAAAAACTTTTAAAAATTGTTTTGCCTTTTCTTTATTCCTTCGTTGGGTACCTATATATTGACTGGATGGCCACTATTTCCTTGTCTTCTGGCTTGCTTGCTGAAAGTTCCTAAACACTCTCTTTCAAATATTGAGCCGCAGCTTACAACAATTTCTGTGAACGGGTTCTTCACTTGCGTATATAACTATAAACATTTGTTCTAGTGGTACGGAGGAAGTTGCCTTTCGATAGAACCGAGCACTGATTTGAGATAATTACAGGACACTGTGTTTCGTTTTGCCACAAGATCTGACTTTGTTTGGTAAATGCGAATGGCAGCGCACATGCAATATTTGTTTAACCTGAAACGTTGGGTTATTTTTTTAATTTGATCTCTTAATCGTGTCTTTCCAAAATTAATGGCAACTCTCAGGGACACGAATATGTGTCGCGAATTGCGATACCGTTCGTCTTTGATTATGAACTTTCACATTTTCCCGCTCTAGACATATTTTCGCAAACACCTATGACGTTTTTCACAACAAAAAGAGAGTTTTGACGTCAAGGAAGTTGCAGTGCCGTAAGAGGTTGTTGTGTGGAGGCTGGCTTGATTGACTTTAGAACGTAGGGAATTTCACACTAACCGAGTGGATTTGTTTAGTCTGTTTACAAGAAAAGTTTGCAAAAACGCTGCCAGTCGTTGGCGCTGAGTTCGTTTATCAGCAATTCTTGGTAAGTCTTCTTTACGTGATTGAATACTCGAAATCAGGCAACTGTCTAAACCGGTCCTGGTGGAGTTGACATTTGACTAGCGGCACTGGTAAGGAGCCCGAAACCTGGAGACGGATTACGGGCTTTCTTTTCAGTCCATTTTCAGGCAGTTTTCTATTGTAAATTACCCTAACTAAATTGTCACTCGGGTGATCGACTTCAGGGTCCACAGCATTCTGGGTGAGAGAATTCTGGGTTTTTATCAACTGTTTTTTTTCCCAGCTAACGTTTGCAGAAGACTACTCTGGGTTGAACCTTACGCACCCAGATTATCTATTTGCTCTGGGTTTAGCAGTAATATGGAAGCAAGTGGTAGTTTGCCTTAAAATGTCATGTGGATCTGACAATTAAAAAATAAATACCATGGTTTTAGACAGTCGACAGAAGTCTCATTAGAAAATGAATGGATGGAACACGGACATTATACTTGCTCCATGAAATCATTGTGACTTTGTAGGAACGTCAAATTTTAGTTTACATAGTCTGAGAAGGAGTAATGAACACAAAGGAATGAGGCCAGACTATTTATAAAACACAGTGTCTCATCAGCTACTCCTTTGGATAAATGCACGAAAGGTCCGATTACGCCGCGAGACAGAGACATTTTGTCTTCTGCCATTGAGGATACAGTCGACCCTACTAGACGTTTTTGATATCTGTTACTGGTGATATTTTTTCCTAATACGACGGAGTGAATCACGGACGTCTTAGTGAGACAACTTTAAATTCAGCGCTCTTGTGACTGCAAGTCTTGTAAATGATACGTTGACCAAGGACATCCTGCTTTGCATGTGTGTTAGTGTGCTGCAAATGTGCACATAGACATAGACTTACTTCTGCGGATAAATGCAGTTGACTGTTTCGGAATTTTTCCGTCGCACATACCGGCAGCAGCATAAATGTTTAAACAAAACGAAGACAAAGTCGATCATCTACTCTCTAACCAAAAACGGTCTGCTGTCAATGGGATTTAAGTCACTAAGGATTCATTCTTTCAACAACAAATCATACTATAGCAGGGTCTAAGGGAAATTTGAATAGCCGGGTAACTAGCTGAAAAAGTACAACTAAAGCCAAATAATTTTTCTAACAAGAAGACTGCCCCATTTCTCTGCCAAGATGACGGGAGTCTGTTGATGGAGAGGTCAAAGATCCGGAAACGCTAAGCGGAGCCAGTTGTTCATAATCAGCGCAGAAGACCTTAGCCGACTTTCCCGAGTGGTCACTAACGTTGGCTGCACCGGTCGAAGAAATAGCTTAAGCCGAAGTTTACTAATATGACCGCAACCAACTCATAAAGTTTCTTCTTTCAAGGAGATATACCGACCAGGGCACGCTGTGAAAGACTTAAAAAGTGCAATTATGCTTCATCCGCATAAATTCAAATCAAACCGTCAAATCTTTTGCAATAGAATCATACTATGTAGCCCGAACACGCATCTGAGGAAGGTATTCCTTCAAGAAACGCAAGGCAGCTTCCACAACCACGGGCGGGTGGTTGTGGCTTATCAAATGCAAGACAAATACCTAGAAATGCATCTTACCGCACAATGCGGTAAACCACGATTAATCCCGTTAGTCGGATATCTGCAGCAAATCAAACAGATAGCTATATAACTGCCTTATGGGATGGATAACGGGACAGGTATCTGTGGTTATCGTGGGGTGAAAGAGGGTTGCATAATTGTTTCACCCTCTTAATTCTCATGTACGCAGATGTACGCACTCCACGAGCCGCAACAGCAACAACTAATCCGACGGACAACTTATCAACCTGTGAAGCTTAAAGACATTTTAAAGAGTCTTCAGAGCCAGTGTCTACAGTCGCGTGTTCGCGAATGACTGTCTGCCAAGTATCACAACTGATAAAAATGATTACTTGGGCATGAACTCTTTTGCCTCCGGCCTCGACAGCCCAGATTTTATTAAAGGGGCAAAGAAAACAGTGGTCGCGCATTAACCGGCATCACAAGATGACTAAAAACAAATGCATGGCCAATGACACTGGAACCCACATTATATCTGCAGACAAATTTCCCTCCCCTAAGATTTCTTAAGTTAACGGAGCCTTCAGTCAGATACAACACACTACCTGGGATAGCTCTGACTTTCTCGGCAGCGCGAAATTGAGGATGTGGTAGGGTGGAGACGTGGACTGTCAAGCCAGGCTAAGGATATTTAGAGCAAAACAACAGAAAGTTTTGTGACACTGAGGTTCTGTTAAGAACTGGCTTCTTCGCTTTCCAAGCCCTGCCGAGGCCAGAGCGGTAATGACGTGTGGATGAATCATGAGAGCCTGCCCAAAACTATTATTCTATGGCGGGTAACAGAAACGCGGAGATAGGTCGGATAAAATTATCGATACAAAGACACGCTGAAGGTCTTGCGTTAGCATCTGCAAGTGTTGCATCGGCGGGCATGGTGCACCGCTGTAACGACTGTAGCAGACATATTTGAAGCATGCTGAAGAGTGGAATCAAAAGCCAAACGAGGGGCTCGAACCACTTAACTGTCGTAGACCATCGTCGAGGGCCTTTAAGCCATGCCGTCGTGTTCGCATTGTCAACTTTCATCTAGGACACAGATAGGTCTCGTCAGAATTTCCTGCGTTCAGTGCGGTGCTAACACGACCAACTCACACCACCCTCTTGAAGCACTACAAGCACCATCAGCATTGTCAAAGCGGCCAAGTCCACAACTCAACCCACCATCATAAACATTGTCCCTTCCCTAATTTACGCGACAATCGTGTCCTTGAATGTAGGCTGATATTTTGTAGTAGGGACTACGCCATATGTAGCTTTGGATTTAATCAGGTTTGGAACACCCAGTGATGTTAATTGGACGGAAGGGAGCGCACGGCCACTAGGGGGATCCATCCACACTTCAACTACTCACACTGCACACTATAGTACATCCTATGCTCTTGAATACATGCCGATGTGCGAAAGTTTTCCAACCGAAGTGGCAAGTTGACCCGTTTCCTAACGGTTGTTTAGGCCGCAATGGCTCATTATAAATGTGAGTTTCACAGCACTTCTAACTTAGCTAAGGTCCAGGCCTCCTGAATGAAGTCTTATGTTAGTACTGTGGGAACCAGCTAGCGTGTGGGGCGCTGAGATGAGATGTTTGGTTCTTGTCATCCACTGCGCCTATATCCACCTCTGGTCGTATCTACTTTGTCTTGTCCTCGGAGAGCAGCGTGTTTCGTGGGGCCAGAGTGAGGAAGGCGTACCGCAAGTCGACACCGCATATTCACGCACGAGTCATCCCAACGTACATTCTGAAGGCCAATAATAGCTTTTTCATTCGCTACAGTTAAACTGTCAGCTTCTTTTTATGAAGTCGCACGTATTGTCGGATGCACGTACACTGCAATGAGCAGTTAGGTGGTTTAGGAAGCCATGTAAATGGCCTTCCAGGTAAGAAAACAAAATACTTCCTCCCCCATAGCTACGCATGTGTTAGACAGCGGACACTCCGCTAACCAAGTCCTGGTCCTCCGAATTCCCGATGTGTGCACGAAGAGCTCTGACCGTCATGAACGATGACGTCATCCACGTGACCGACAGAGTGCGGGCAACATTGGTTATTTGCAGGTGAATCAGTATACATTAGGTGGGCTAACTCATAAAAGGTCAACTGAAATCTCAAAACGCGTTTTCGTTTTAAAATGATCAATTAAGCAGGGTTGTAAAATTAATCATCATGCAGCATAATTGCATAATAATTCGGTTGCCTTGAGATGTCCGCTTTCGAAAGGACTTCTTTGCGGCTGCATGAAAAATTTATACTCTGTAAAATGACTACTTAAGTAGTCTTCATTTTTCTTACTGATTTTCGATGCCTTAAAATGCAATTATACTTAATAGAAAACATGCATAAAAATATTCATTCTTCTGCTCATTCGGTAGAAAATTACGTCTTCTTTCAATTTTACACTCGAAGGAAGGGTGTAATTTGGTTTTATAAAACTTTTCAAATTCCCGAATAATTTTGAAGTTGACCTGCCGTCAAACTTGCATTCAGGGTTTCCAAACTACAAGCCGTATATATTTTGCGTACGGAAAACCATTCATTTCTCTAAGGTATTAACAGGAGACCGTATTAACTTCATGTAATGTAGCAGAACATTTGAGCCATATTGTTAACTTAACAAGCTACATGGGTAAATGCAGACATATGACGATTTGTGAACGGCCATTTTACGGTATTAAAAATAGCACAATTAGAAACTTTTTAAAACCGAATCATGCCATTCCTTTGTGTATAAAATTGGAAAAAGACGCCATTTCCTACCGAATGAGCAAAAGAATGATATTTTTATGCATGCTTTGCATGAAATGTAATTGAATTTTTAAGGGCATCGAAAATCATCGAGAAAAATGCATGCCACTTATGAATTTTAAAGATTACGGCGATTTGTAATCCTTGTGTTTTAGTGCACCTGTTTGCCCCACATCCTTCATAATCTCGTGGAACGCATCCGGAATCAAACGACCGGGAACGGCGGATTTGTCCATTTAGCGTACAGTAGGTGGGGTAACTCATGAAATGTTAACGGAAATTCCGAAATGCGTTTTCGTTTCGAGAAGGTTGATTAAGTAGGTTTGTAAAACTAGTTAGTGTAAAACTGATCATCGCGCAGCACGGCTTTTGAGCGAACTCCTTTTCAACTGCATGCAAAAACTGTACACGCATAAAAATATTCATTCTTTCACTCGTTCGGTAGAAAATTACGTCTTCTTCCAATTTTATACTCGAAGGATGGGCATTATGCGGTTTTCAAAAACTTTTTCAACTCCCGACTAATTTGTACCCCAACCTGCCGTTACACTGGTATTCAGGATTTCCAAACTCTAAGCCGTATATTTTCCGCATACGGAAAATCATATATATCCCTACGGTAGTAAAGGGGGACCAAAAAGGATTCATATACTTAAGCAGTGAATTTGATCCATATTGTTAACTTTACAAGCCACGTTGGTAAATGCACAGACATGACGTATTATGCACGGGCATTTCACGATATTAAAAAATCTCACAATTAGGAACTTTTTAAAAACCAAATTATGCCCTTCCTTCAAGTATAAAATTGGAAGAAGACGTCATTTACTACCGAATGGGCAAGAAAATGAATATTTTTCTGCATGTTTTCCATGAGGTATAATTGAATTTTTAAGGGCATTGAAAGTCAATTTTTACTGAGCGTGGTTTATGCACGCAGCCGGAAGGAAGGTCAATTGAAAGCCGACATTTCGAGACAACTGAATTATTATAGAATTATACTGCATGATGATTAGTTTTACAATCCTACTAATAGATCTCTTCGAAACGAAAACGCATTTCGGAATTTCCGTTGACATTTCATGAGTGAGCCCACCTACTGTATATATATATATATGCATTCGTATGCCTGTCAATTCATGCTACTTAAGTAGCCATTTTTTAAAGAGTGTAGTCTTTTATGCGGCCGAAAGGAAGTTCGTTCGAAAGCCGGCATCCTGTGGTAATTGCAATATTATGGAATCATATTATACATTATATTATGGAATTATATTACAACCCTACTTAATTAATCTTTTCGAAACGAAAACGCATTCCGGAATTTCCGTTGACATTTCATGAGTGAGCCCACCTACTGTATATCTGGGCACACCTGCGAGACACCTATCAAACTCTCTTTCTTCCCTCACCCGCCTTTCCAAGTTAACCGGGGGTGGACCCGGGCGCTATGACTGCCAGAGCTCAGCAGCACGTCTACTCGCTCCAGGCCCCTGTAAGGGGGACTTGGCTCTTAAATGAGTGGGTCACATTAAGTGAGGGCCACATTAAGGGGACATTGCAGCCTGACTTTCAGTCCTGAAAAAAACCGATTTACGCCGTCGGCCAGCAGTCTCCTACCGTTAATGCGCCTCAGGGATGGGTTTCCCAACGTCAATCTCACACCTCCTTCCCTCGGCTGTCCGGGTCTACCAACCGGCTGATGATAGGATTGGACGCGATGGCTTAAGCAGGATGAGGAGTACGTCAATGTGTTCCACCACGGCCAGAGGGCATGTTCCGTGAGTCAGTGAAACCCCTGTTTTTGTCCACCGCATCGGCAACGCAGCCGGTTGTGGAGAAAGCTTACATAGCCTGACCCGGGCAAACGACTGGACCATGTTGTTAGTTTTTATTCGAGCTTGATTTTGTCAGACTACTTAAGTCCTGTGTGTGCCATCAATTCATCCACCTGTGGTTTTCGTGCATGTGACGTTCCTGTGAATGCGCACCGATTTTTTGAAATAATCAAGTCCCTTATGTTTCGTTCGTTCACTTATTGTGGATGCATTTGATGATCTGACCTGCAACTGGTTAGCGATGCTAAATTCTTTGTGACAATCCCAATTTCCTCTAGATGTCTCTTTGGGCTCGGAAGTACGTGGGTAGTGGTCTTTGTGCAAATTTTCCGGTATGATCTTATTTCGTAGCCGCACTTGTTAGGGGTTAAGGTTCGGGATTAGGGGTTAGGCTTGTGGGTTAGTGTTAGGGGTTGGGGTTAGGGGTAAGGGGGTTAAAGTTAGGGATTGGAGGTTAGGAGCTAGGGTTGGGGGTTCGGGTTAGGGTTGGGGGCTAGGGTTAGGAGTTAGGGGTTAGGGCCAGGAGTTGGGGGTCAGGGTTAGGGGTTGGTGTTAAACCCCATATTACCACCGGTCACGTATAACAGACAGCTGGGGCTAGTCTACTGCAGTCGAGGCTGTGAGATAAGACCCGGCTGATTTTCCCCTTGGTAAATAGCGGTAACGACGACGACGACGACGTCGCCAACAACGACGATGGCGATGATGATGATGATGGTGGTGATGGTGGTGGTGGTGGTGGTGGTGTTGAGGATGCTGCTGCTGTTGCTCCTGCTGCTGCTGCTGGTGATGATGATGATGATGATCATCATCATCATAACTTTCATGGAGGTGGGGTGGATGGGTCGATTATAGAACAGAGAGGGAAGGCAGAAAACCTATTTCCCCGCTGGCATGTGAGCCCATGGAGATGACAGTTGTAGGATGAGGCTGATATGATGGGAATGAGAAATTGCAGTTGTGGTGTTGACGCTTGTGATGCCGGCTGCAACAAAGGGGATGAAACCGAAAAAACTACGACGTTGATGCTAATAACGACTCTATCTACACCTTCCTAGGGAACACTGCTCACGTGTGTCACTTTGGACGAATATGCCCCACATGTCTCAGACGCTCAGTAAGAGATAATACCCGACATCAGATTTTACCTTTGTCTCGTGATTGGAGTAAAACGTATTGACATTCCTTCGCTATAATAGTGCTCGCATATTGTCATTCTAAATAGAGACCCGCATTTTGTGGGGTCACCGAGCGCACCCTACAGAGATTCGAGTCCACGCGTGCGTATGTGTGCCGCAAACTTCGTAGTCTGTTGGCGTTACCGTGGTTACCGCGCCGTTGGTTCGATCTCATGCTTACGGGGTGTCAATGATCGGTGTGCAGAGGTGGAGGAGGGGGGGGGGAGGTAGAGGGTGTGGATAGATCGCCGATGGAGTTGATTGTTAATCGTGTTTGCCTTGACAACCATTGTCGCACACAATTGCTGCCTCTCAAGAGGACACAGTGCAGCCGTTGGGTCAGATCGCGAAGACAATAGCAGCTCATAGAGAGAGAGCGTGCTGTTTTTAGCCGTTTTCTGGTTGACCTCTTGTGACTGCTGGTGGCTGTCTTGGGTGGCCTACCTACTTTCAGATGAATATTAATTCCAGACGCAGAACTCTGCTTCGAAAGTACTTGGTTTCTGTGCACGCTGATACTGAAGTGCGACAGTTTCGGCTGAAATCATTGTCAAGTTAGCAAATGTACTTTCAAAATATGTCTTAATGCATGAAAATTAATGCGTGGGGATGCTAGGACATCTTCAAGGTCTCCTTAGTGCTGTGGTCACTTACTAATATGAAAGCAATGTATACTACTTTACCCGTGAAACCGGTAAGTGCGCGCAATGTGAATGGCGGGAGTTTGGGATTTCGAATCGACTACAGTTCTGCGTTTTGTCGGGGGGGGGGGGGGAATGGTGCACATCGTCAGGTGCAACTTTCGAACAATTTGACAAAGTTATTATGCCCAAAGGCGTCTGCCGTTCTCTCCCCGTGGCAGCTAGCAATGCGAAAACAGTCCCCTCAGAAGCCAGTGAGGTCGGATCTTATTTCGTAGTCGTACCTGCAGTAAACAAGCCCCAGGCTAACCCCTCACCTCTAACCCTAGCCATGCCTCTGGCAGGCTATGCGGTTTAATTATGCTCCCAGCAGCCAGCCATACCTGTTTGGGATGGGGTCGAACCTAGGGTCTCTCGATGCAGACAAAAATCTCACTTTGAATCAGTGGTGATCGGGGTTGACTGAACATCACTCAGTCAAATTACGGAATTCCCCGTCAGGTGCTCTCTTTCTTGGACCACAGTTATTCACTCAGACGGTGAGAATGTCGAAATATGAGGCTGACACGAGTGTCCCCGATGGTCGACAACCCGAAGACTCCCAAATTGCAGGTCATCACGGAGGATAAACTGAGTTAGACAAGCTTTACTGTTGCTAAAGAGCGTACAGAAGGCGCAACAGGCAGCTGCTGCAAGCCGCCTGTCCGTGTCCGCTGTTGACCCCCTGCGCGTGCATGCGCCCGATTTGTGTCCGCCTCCAGCCAATCAACGAAGGAGCAGCGCTAATTGGCTTCAAGCTCCCGGAAGGCTGCTGTTAGGCCTCGCATGGTCCCAGCAGCGAACCGGCGGGGAGCGTGAGGCGGGGAGAAGGGCAGCATGACAAAACGGCGGCAATCAAGGGAACGGACCATTAAAGGGTCTTTATTCGATCTTGGGCGTTTGGACGGACATTTGAGTAGGACTCCGACCGAGGATTGAAGTGATATTAACATTTTTCACGCAAATATTTATGTCAGATGATAAGGGATCACCCTGTAAGTAGGTAACAATACATTTAAGAAAAATTTCCGGGATGCAGAACAATTTGCTGGGACGAACAAGTGTGAGAAGGGATCTTTTGTTCGCTTCCATTTTATAACTGCCAAGTGGATTACCATTGAGGAGTTTTCTCGACAGAGACAGTGGCTTATTTGCTGTCAACAGCCAGTGATGTCCCAACCTCCTCTGCCTGCCCAGCTAAGATACGAATTCCGAGTTAGCAATGCACGCACCCCTTACACTAACGGCCCTGCTTTATGCCCACTGAGATGGGACGAATGTATTGTTCCCTGTATGTCCCCGATCACAACCGACAGGGCAACGAGTCCGTGACTCAGTAGTTATAGGCGTTGGACTTCTAACCAACAGATCGCGGGATCAAGCCCCAGGCGTTCCACACCTCAAGGTTGGGTATGGCTGGCTGACGGCGGCTACTATGCCAGAAATGGACATTACAGTCTTCCTTGTCTTTGTCGGTAATGCTATTCTACCTATATCACGCCCTGCTGGTTGGGCTCGAGATCAAACCCTAAGGCAAAACGAGATGAGCGAGTTCCGTAAAAACGATCGGCGAGTGTCCCTCTACCATAAATTCAACTACTTGTTAGGGAATTAGGACACACAGGGATTTGGCTGGTCGCCATTGCAGATAATTTTTCTCCAGATCACGGTTCATTCGATCTCACATTTTATAAGATTGGGCAGCTCTTGCGATGACCTAACCAGGCCCCTCCAAGTATTTTAAAGCCAATTAAAGATGAATTACTTCGATTTCATGAGGAATGAAATATATATCCGTATCGTCATTCGATACTCCTCAATGAACTCAGCTTTTCTACCAGGTAGTACGGTTTAATCATTGTCAGGGACATTTAAGACCACAGCCCGTGAATGGTAGTGGCAACGGGTCCTCGCGGAATATGCGCGGTCAGCTTAACGCGTACCGTGAGCCACTATAACCCAGGCTTTTGTCCGACACATCTGCAGCGCAGCCCATTGTGGGGGTAGCTTACACACAACAGATCTAGCACAACATACTTCCATGCGTCATTTGATTTTGGTGAGTTATAACACATTCCAATTACTGCATCTACTGCTAGGTAGTATAGTTCAAATCACCGTCTCAGTTTCAGTTTATTAAGGGGAATATAGGCGAACGCCTTTGAACTCCCTATTGGTTACAAGGCTTCGGAGAAAAATATTGATAAGTGGGAAGGTGGAAAAGTGATTTTGTACATAATTGCGAACAGCTGACAGCTAGGCGAAAAACTAATCATTAACGATTACTTACTAATTGCAAGTAGTATAAGCATGCATAAGTTAGTTCCGGGTTATGTGAGTGGATGCGAGGCTGGTAATTGAGATGCTTGATACGCGTCAAGTCTACAATTGAAGGAATTCACACAGGAGGAGATTGCGACATCGGTAGGCAGGGCATCCCACGCTGCGACCACTCTGTTACTGAAAAAAAACTTTCGCCCACTGATCCTTGCTTTCCCTGCTCGTAGTTTTAGGGGATGACCGCGCAAAGTGGGCGTGTTAGCTTGAGTGAAGTAATCAGTGGGATCTAAACAACAGTCTAGGCCGTTGATAATGCGAAATGTTGGTATAAAATCACCGTGTAATTGCCTGTAAGAAAGGAGAAATAGGTTGAGAGTTGACAGTTTGGTTTCATAGGGCAGTGCTCCCAGACCTTGCGTCATTTTGGTCGCCCGTCTCTGGACCTTCTTCAAGACGGTAAAGTCCAAGGTCTCCACGCCTGTATGGTGTATTCTAGATGAGGCCACACGTAGGTGCCAAATATTTTGCAAAAGCAGTCAGGGTCAAATCCCATAAAGGCTCGCTCAATGAGTTACAATGTAGCCGTAGCCGATTTAGCCGCCTTCGCGCAGTTCAGTGTTAGTAGGAGTGAAGATGTAATCCATACACCCAAGTCCTTCTGACTGTCAACCGGTTGCAGTGGTGTGCCATGTAGAAAGTAAGTCCTGGGGGTGGAGGCTCTGAAGCTGCCGAGTTGGTGAAAGTTGCAATTGCTTATATTGAAGGACATAACCAGCGCTTCGACCAGTCTTCGAGCCTGTTCAAGTTTGCTTGCAGGTGATCTACGTCTGCCGCATTGTGAATAACTTACCACAATTTTATATCGTCGGCAAACAGGATGGCACCACGGTCTAGGTCATTGACGCAGTCATTTATAAAAACGAGGAATAACGTGGGGCCTAAGAATGAGCCCTGTTGGACGCCACTCACCACGTTTACCTCCGAGGACTGTTGACGCCCGACCTGCACTCTTAGGGACAGCCCAACCAAAAAGCTCTGGATCCATACAAGAAGGCGCCCACGAATTCCAGCGTTGCGCAGTTTGTGAAGAACCTTTAGCGACACGCCGGAACTCCTAGTCAGCAGACTTTATCCAAATGGTGAAAAGGGATAATTGCGGTCAGCGGAGAAATGTGACACCTCTGTGTGAACGAGGCCGCGACCCATCATTCGTCTGAAAAAAGAACGACCGTTTTGGCAACTCCTTGATGTTTAATGAACTATCCTAAATTGACGGCTTTTTATAGATGAACGCTGGTCTTCATATTAGACCTGACGAAGGTGCAAAATACTACCATTTCAAATAGCGCCCTCCTCAATGTATTAATTTTGAGAGGCCAAAAATACAACACTGGACAAGGACTAAACATATGTGCGGGGTAAGAAGATGCTAACTCTTGCCCAACAAATTCACTATCATTTTAACACTCCCGCCTTACTGACAGACGCATGCACTCAACATAACAATACTTCGAGTAACTTTTTACTACCCGACTGCTCCCCGTGCCGAACCTTTCTTTAAAAAGTGAGTTTTTTTCCGACTGCAGAATTACGTGTGAGGTGTACAGAACAAAGAACTAGTGTAGACGTTTCAGCACCGCCGACTACCCAGGACGACACCTGCCAGCGAATGTCCTTCTGTTGACAAAGGGCCGACCAAAAACTCCACCGAACGTTATCTACTTCTAAAAATATTGTAGGCAGTTTTCCATAGTTTTCCTTAACCCGCGTGTTTAC